GATGTGAACAAAGATCCACTGACTATGATGGCAGGGAGGCCTCAATATAACAAGCCTAAGAAGATAGGAATGGTATACTGTGGTTATAAAAGTCACCTAAAAAATTGCTACAAAATAGTGGGATATCCAGCAGATTTTAAGAGCAGAATAAGACTCAGGTTGCAGGATGAGGCACGACATTTGCTAGCAATGCAAATGCAGAAGATACCAGCAACTTTGAAGGTCAACCACAAGGACATTACCTAACACAGGAGCAATACCAGCAACTGGTAGGATTGCTGAACAAACCTATAGGTGCAGAGTGTTCCACAAACATGGCAGGTATTGTTTCATTAATGTCCAATGCCACAAAACAGCATTGGATAGTGGATACAGGTGCTACTCATCAAATAACCTGTAATAAAGATTTGCTAGATACACTTAAGATCATAGATGGATATAGAAGTGTACAATTTTCAACAGGGAAGACTTCAAACATTACATATACAGGAAATGCAAAGATTCTAGGTAAAATGTCCTCCATGTACCAGACTTTAAATTTAATTTGCTATCAGTGTCAAATCTCACCAAAGACCTCAGCTATTTAGTTGCCTTTTTCCCTGATTTATGTATGTTGCAGGGAATTTACAGTGGCAGGGTATTGGGGATTGGTAGAGAACATGTGGGATTGTACATAATAAAGTAAAGGGAAGCAGAAAATAAGGCATTGGTGGCAGGAACAATTACAAAGAAAAATGCAGAAACAGTTTCATGGCATTACAGAATGGGACATGCTTCAATAAGGTCTTTGCAGCGCTTGTCAGCCTTGAAGAATAAAATCAATAGTATAGAAACAAGAAATTGTGATGTATGTCCTCTTGCAAAAAAGTGTAGGTTACAATTTCCAACTAGTGTTTCAAACTCAGCTGCTATCTTTCAACTTCTTCATTTAGATGTTTGGGGACCATACAAGGTTCCAAGCTATGACAAGAAATAATATTTTGCTACAATAGTAGATGACTATAGTAGATACACCTGGGCATGTCTAATACAGTCGAAGCGTGAAGTGTGTGTAGTTTTGGAAAACTTCTGCTGATAATAAACAATCATTTTGGTGTCAATATCAAGTACTTAAGATCTGACAATGGAACATAATTCTGTAATACATAATGTGATAGTTTGTTGGCTTCTTATGGTATTATTTATCAAACTAGTTGTCCATATACACCACAGCAAAATGGAACTGTAGAAAGAAAGCACAGGCACATCTTAGAGGTGGCCAGAGCTTTGAAACTTTAAAGTGGAGTCCTCATAAGATTTTGGGGTGATTGCATTAAGACTGCAGTCTATGTGATCAATAGACTACCTACACCAGTTCTGAAAGGAAGAACTCCATATGAGCTGTTGTATGGAAAGAGCCTATGGTGGATCACCTTAGGGTGTTTGGTTGTCAATTCCATGCAACAACCTTGCACAAGGTAGATAAGTTTGCACCCAGAGCTAGGAAGGCAGTGTTTATTAGCTACTCAGAAACACAAAAGGGATATAGACTATAGATCTTAAACAAAAATCCTTTTTTGTAAGCAGTGATGTAGTATTACAAGAAGGCAGATTCCCTTTCAAGGATACAGGAGTTGAAGCAGATGATATATTTCTTCAACAGCCATTTCAGCAGAAGAACACATTCCTAGCTCACCATTTATACAAGTTGTAAGTCAAGAACACACTACCTTACCTATGAATCAAGATAACATTGATTCCCTTGCAGGTGAATAAAGATAATCTCTACAACACTAGAGCAGTTGAACTTACCAGACACTCATGGTTCAACATTAGGTGAAGTTTCAGAAGAGGTTCCTCCAGTTGAGCCAGTATCTGCACCAACTGCAACGGACCTACCTACACAACCAGCTCTAAGAGAACCCAGAAAGATAACTACTCCCATATGCATGAAACACTATGTGACTTCTACAAAGCTGTCTGGAAACGGCTGGTTTCCAATCTCAAATCATATTAGATATGATCATCTTACCGAATATCAAGCTTATTTACAAGCTTTTTCAGTCCTAGTGGAACCTAGATCCTTCAAAAAAGCAGCACAGGATCCATAGTGGATAAAAACAATGGAACAGGAGATACAAGCACTAGAAGACAATCACACGTGGGAAACTGTCGACCTGCCCATTGGGAAGCAAGCCATAGGCTCCAAATGGTTCTACAAAATAAAGTACAAGGAAAATGGAGAGGTGGACAGGTTCAAAGGTAGATTGGTGGCTAAAGGTTACACACAACAAGCTAGATTTGATAACCATGAGGCTTTCTCACTTGTAGCTAAAATAGTTACAGTGAGAACAGTTATCAGTGTTGTCGCTTTCAAGAGTTGGCGTTTATTTCAAATGGATGTCAATAATGCCTTCCTCCAAGGTGACCTCACTGAAGAAGTCTACATGGATTTACCTCAGGGATTTCATAAACAGGGGGAGTGTAAGGTGTGTCGATTGTTGAAATCCCTCTATAGTTTGAAACAAGCCTCGAGGCAATGGAACATTAAGCATACAAATGTTTTGCTGCAAGCTGGATACTCTCAGAGCTCATATGATCATTCATTCTTTACCAAGAAAAGTGGCAAGAACATTGTGATCATCCTAGTGTATGTAGATGACGTGTTGATAATTGGGAATTCTCACAGTATGGTTAGAGAAGTCAAGCAGACTCTTCACCACAATTTCAGAGTAAAAAATTTGAGGGAACTTAGATACTTTCTTGGAATAGAGGTTTTAAGATCACAAGGAGGAATTGTATTGAACCAGAGGAAATATGCCATGGAGCTTATTTCAGAGGCAGGTTTGAGTGGATGCAGGCTAGTTGCAACTCCAATGGAACTCAATCATAAGCTAACTACTGTGGATTATGACAACCATGTTGGGAGCACAGGAGATAAGCTATTGGATGATGCTGGAAGCTACCAAAAGTTGATAGGAAAGCTGCTTTATTTGACCATCACAAGACCAGATATAAGTTTTGTTGTACAAGTGTTGAGTCAATTCATGCATAATCCTAAACAATCACATATTGATGCAGCCTTGAGAGTTGTCAGATACATCAACGGATCTCCAAGCTTGGGTATATTACTTCAGAAAGGTGAGACACACAACTTGACAGTGTTCTGTGACTCAGATTAGGCAGCTTGCCCAAATACTAGAAGGTCGACCACAGGGTACATTGTTAAACTAGGAGACTCCTTGCTATCCTGGAAGTCCAAGAAGCAACAAACAATCAGCATAAGCTCAGTAGAAGCAAAATATAGAAGCATGGTTGTAGTTGTTGCAAAAGCAGCATGGATGGTTGGATTGCTGGAAGAACTGGGTAACAATGTGATCAAACCAGTACATTTACATTGTGACAGCAAAGTTTCTTCGCAAATAGCAGCCAATCCCATATTTCACGAGAGAATCAAGCACATAGAGATTAATTGTCACTTTGTAAAGGAAAGGATCAAGACAGGGCTCATCACCACTGAATATGTATCCACCAAACAGCAGTTGGCAGATTTAATGACCAAAGTTTTGGGAGTTGCTCAGCATCATCTGTTGTTGTCCGAGCTGGGAGTGTTAGATGTCTTCCACTCTCCAGCTTGAGGGGGAGTATTGAAGTGCAAAAGTGTAGCCTTGGGTAGTTAGGGGTTATTCAGTAATTTAGAAAAGTTAAAAGGGCCAATTAAGGCTGTTAGAGTTTGTTATAAAGCACTGTTGAGTGCCAAAACGTAACCAACACAATTCATTTTGTCCAGTACACGATCTCTTCTTCCTCTCTTCCTTCTTCTCTCCTTCTTTCAAAATCGGTGCCCTAGATAGCAATGGTACTTATCTAGCCTGCATGTTGCTCGATCTGCTTAGCTTAGAATTCACAAATTAACAAGTTGTTTTAAAGAAGCAAAAAAAAAAATAGCTTCTCTACGAAAGCTCTTATTTGAAAAATACACTAGAAGTACTTTTTTACAGTTTGGCCAAACACTATTTGATGTTAAAAAGTAATTTTCAAATTAATTAGTCAAACACAATCAGTTTCTTACAAAATACTTTTGAAAAAAAAAAAAAAACTTCTCAAAATAAGGTGATTTTAGAAGTTTGACCAAACAAGCTATTAAACTCTGGTACACAATGAAGCTACGGCACAAAAATTAAAACGTAGGGAGTAAATGTTCGCATCAGTTCTGATAAGCAAAGGCGCAAAAATTGTCTCACCCAAAATTTGAATCGGAGTTTGTTCTGCAAATAAGCTATTAGTGATGAACTCTCCCTTGCACAATCTTTTTATTCACATTTTTTGAGAATTTTGACAGCTCCTTTTCAGATTTAACGCAAAATTGTGTGGCTAGTAGTAAAAAGTAGCTCAATTGAGTTCGCCTGTCATAGTGATATGGATACCAAGCTTTAAGGTCGGGTCAATTAAGTAGAAAGTGCTATGCCTCTCTTTTCATTTACAAAAGATTAGCATCCGCTGCGTAAAGATGATACGCACAGATCGATAACGTTAACCTATGAGGCAAAGTCTTAAGTTAATGCAAATTTGCAAGTCTAAACGAGCTTGAATTCTACCAAGAAATAATTTAAAACAGATAAAAAAAAATGCACACAATAACTTCACAACTTGATTTAAAAGAATTAAATGAATCAAACTTCACAATTTGACTCTGATATCCATTCAAACAATGAATCAAAGCTACATTTCACGACTAGCTAAGAAAGAATTAAATGACACTAGACAAAGAGTTAAACACCAACTATGGTCATTAATTGTGTGTTCAAACCAATTCAAACAAATATAATCCTCAAACATATCACTATGAAATAACCAGATAATAACCAAATAATCCCTCTTACTGTGAAATACCCTGAGCAGAAAAGATTAAGATTATCAATTAAAACAACTTTCATGACACACCCAACTCATAATTAGCTATACTTTCTAATAAATATACTTGAAAAGCAAAATTAATGAAAATAGTGTAGATATTAAAGAACACAGAAATGAGGACCAAGCAATTACTATTCCTTGAATATGTAACGGAGAATTACATCATTAACCTTACCAAAAACTAAGCGACCCTAATACACAACGGCAGCAAAAGTACAAATCTATAATAATTACCCACAAAAACCCTAATTTGACAAATCTAACCCCCAAATCCGTAAAGAGTCCTGCCCTGCCTCTTGAGCGCATAAACAACATCCATAGCAGTAACTGTCTTTCTTCTAGCGTGTTCAGTGTAAGTCACAGCATCACGAATAACATTCTCCAAAAATATCTTCAACACACCACGAGTCTCCTCGTAAATTAAACCAGAAATACGCTTTACTCCTCCCCTACGAGCCAAACGCCGAATTGCAGGCTTAGTGATTCCCTGAATGTTGTCCCTTAATACTTTTCTGTGCCTCTTTGCTCCTCCTTTGCCCAATCCTTTACCTCCCTTGCCTCTTCCTGACATTTTGAGAAAAGAATTTGGGGATTTTGAAATTTGAACTTGATATGGGAAGATATGTTCTTGATTCGGATTTTGATGAAAGGGGAATGAGGAGTTGGGCTTTATATAAAGCTGATGGTTGTTGGGGTTACGGAGAGGTTTGAATCGTGGCCGTTGGTGTCTTGGAGATTAAGGAGATGATCAGACGGTTACTAGTGTCGATCCGTGTGAGAGGAGGGAAGTGTATATGACTCGTTGATTAAATGGAGATCGAAGGTGGGGGGTGATTCTTTTGTGATAGTGTACGGATTGTGCTTTTTGGTGAGAGGAACGGTACCCTATTGCTTGGTCAGAAATCTATCCAACCTTACTCCCCTATAATTTGTTTTGGACACATTCAATATTGTTTTATTATTTTAATATTTAAGTATTTAGATGCTCATTAGTAGTATTTGAAATACTGTTGATTTTGAGTAACATTCTTGTTTGGCCATGAAAATTTTATTATTTTCTTTCAAAAGAATTTCACTTCTTTTCGAAATTATTGTTTGGCCATAATTTTCATTTCACTTAAACATGAATTTTGGAATATTTTGAAAATTTTAAAAAATTTAAAAAATTATTTTTCAAAATTTTCACTCAACTCACTCATAAAAATTCAAAAACAACCTAAAATTATATTCATATCTAAACACAACTCTAATTATACTATTTTCAATTGAAAAGAAAAATCATTTTTTTCAGAATTTTACAATTCTTATATCCAAACGCCCAGTAAGTTAAATAGATTCACAAATCTTCAATTCCTACAAAAAGAAACTTCTACCGAAATTTATGTCCAAACACTATAATTTTAAAACTTTTTCAACTTCTACTTCAAATATTCTTTTTTAAATTTTAATTAAATATTTTTATACATCTATTTATCTAGAAATGCTCTCTCTGTTTTTGTTTCTATACAAAGAAAATGAAAGGTTGTTAAGAAATTAGCTCAAAGTAATAGTATAAATAAGTAAATAGACAAGAATATAGGGAGCAAGAGATGAGAGATTCTTATTTCTCCATCTATTCAAGTGTGTACAATGTGATGCCTAAACCCTTTATTTATTGGATGATATTTAGGTAATACAAAGGGATGTCATGAACATGGTATTAACTATTGAGATCATGGGGGGAGATCATGGAGGTATACCATAATGGTAAGAAGTAGTGGATGTAACTCCCTTAGGAGTTATGGACATCCACCATAATCAAGTGTTTCATAACGCTCCCCCTTGGATGTCCAAAGATAATATGCCTCGTTAAAACATTACTAGAAAAAAATCTTGTGGAAAAAAATCCTAGTGAAGGAAAAAGAGTACTCATATCATGTAATATGCATTGGATGTGGCTCGTTAAAAACCTTGCTAGGAAAACCAATTGGGACCTGTGCTAAGGGAAAAAGAGTACAGCGCGGATTTGCCTCCCCCTCATGAAAACATCACTTTATTTCTTGAAGATAATGAATTTCAATCTTGTATTTCAACTTCTCAAACATTGAGGTTGGCAATGTCTTAGTGAACATCAGCCAAATTATCACATGAATGAATTTGTTGATTATCAATTTCACCATTCTGTTGAAGATCACGCGTCTGAAAAAGAACTTTGGTGAAATTTGTTTTGTTATGTCTCCTTCGATATATCCTTCTTTCAATTGAGCTATGCAAACAGCATCATCTTCAATATTATTGGAATCTTCTCTTCAGAGAAACGTTACTCGTTTGTTGTGTGTTGAGTAACTTGCTTTATCAGTTGCTTATCTTGGTTTGACTTGAATAAGTATCAACAATTAACTGTCTTGTAGAATAATAATATGACAGTACCCTCACATACAAATAGATTGTTTGAAGAACAAACTTCAGGAAAATGCCTGCATTTGCATGACCAACAAAATCTTGACAGTATTTATTAGAATAAACAAATCTATTTCAAGGATTCCTTTTGCAATACAACACTAATCGTATTTCAATATATCCACATAGGAATAAAATTATATCTCGCTAGAATATTGTTATACTTATGGCTCTAGCAAGATACATTGGTGCACCAATTGCACTAGACACAAAAATAAATTATGTATACCATGATTGGTCTAATCCACATAAGGATTTGATGAAGCTTTAATTAATAAGTTTCTTGGGAACCTTAATATGATTTAAGATAGTTTAAATCCTTTAATGATTTTTATATATGCATATCAAATTTTCAGGTATTGCCAGACTAAAATCTGAAAGCAACTACATCCACCACAAGAGAACATGTTTCCATATAATCAATGTCAGGACATTTACGAAAAATCTTGTGTCACCCCACTGCGTTATACTTTCGGGTGTTAGGACTATTAGTCCAAAACTTCACGTTTTCCAAGTGAAGTCAATCTTGATTGCGTATTTTTCATTGACCAATCATTTATCTGTCCATATTTTATGACAGATTTGAGCTCAAGATCCTCATCAATATTAATGACATTGAGTGCTACATTATATTAACAACATTGTCGACGATCATTTTGCATTGGTTCCATCATCACTCAATAAAGACATAACTTATCGAGATCTTATTATTTTCAAGTACCTGAGCCTCTCTGAGCTCTTATTAAGTGTTATGTCATGGTGCTCTTATAAAGCACTTACCTCCTTATTATGACCATCTTGAACATTTGCTCATCTCCTTATTCTACGAGTTTTATCTTTGGAACTGATTAGTCTATTACGCTTCATGCTGACCATAAACTCTGTCCATCTTGAACGTTATTCTATTCGAAGCATTAGCAGCTGAAATATGACATTTAGTTGGGTCAGTAAATGCGCCTGTCAATATTTTACAAATGAATTATCACTTGAATTTCAAGTTCACATTTTCTTGTACGAGGATCCAGATGTATTCATAATAATTCATTCTACATATCACTTTTTTAGCTGCCCATTTTCTCCCCCTAATGTTGGGATCACCAATACATTTTCCAATCTTCTTTGGGAACCCATCTTTGTGCGTTGTGGTAGCATAATTAAATCATATAGCATATCCATATTTCTAGATGGAAATTATTTGATTTCTGACCCTAAACCAATTGTGATGGGGAGAATTTATCATAACTTGGCTAGATGCATAAAAGTGTTGTTGTATATTAAATAATGCATTTCATACCAAATTTCTTTTTGGGAGTTTTGTTCTCGTAACCAATGGTTAGCTATAATTAGAGAAATACAATTTCTGCGAAACCAACTTGGATTCAAACAAGCATTATCAAGATAAATCATTATAATTTACATTCTGGAATTGTGCTCTAATAATTTGATCAAGCAACCTTGCAAAAGCCAAACTGCAAGTTGATAACAAACACACATGTGACTGTACAATAGATGCATCTATTAAAATCATATAATAGTAAATAGTCCACATGGCAGGTGACTGGGCCCATAAATATATCACCTTTTATTCGTTCCAGAAATCAAAGGATTCAATCCCAACCTTAGCTGGTATATCATGAGAATAAGCAGCACAAGAAAATTCTTGAAGGATCTTCAATTTCTTCAATATATGCCAATGTAAATTCTCAATCAATTTTTTTCGCATCATAATTGAACCGGGATGGCCAACTGGTCATGTCAACTAATATTTGTTTCGGTAAACCTCTAGTTTACTGGTGGCATGTGATTCCATCATCATGCTTATACTTGTGTAGTACAAATAGAAGAAAAATCAGATAACCTTTTTATTTACCTGGTATGACTATAGTAATATGAAGATATTCAATCTTCCTTTCATTTATAGTCTCAATATGCCAACCACTTTGGCTACTATATTTGAAACTCAAAAAGTTCCTTCTGAGACTTACTACAATATCGATGTCATGAACAATTTCATTCATCCGGGTAGTAATAAATTAGTTCTTCTGGAGCTCTTAATTAATTTTATACTACAAGATCTTTTGTCACTCCATTCATATGGTGAATGTCTTCTTCACAGAGAAAATCATATCATAATAATTGTCATGGTCAAAATCATCATAAGCAAAATCAGTTCTTGCTTTAATGTTGCCTTTAATAACTTTTTATAAGGCATGTCAAAATATTTTTAGCATACCATATATGCGTGACCAATGACATATTAATGTAACCGCACAGTAATATTCATTATCTTTCTTTCTCTCAAACCTCCCTTAGAGGTGAGTTGTGGTATGTATCTAATCATGCATTGCACGTCTTTATTCGCTACTTTTATCACATATTGCTACATTCACCTTCAGGAATGATTCTGCATTCTAAATGCTTATCACAAGTCACTTTCTCTTCAAAGAGTGGAGTATAATTATCTGATGTGCTTTATAAATTTTTCATTCCAATTTGATGGTAAATATTTCTTTTACCCTTTGAAGGATTACTTCGAGAACCCTTATTGTTCTTTCGTCCCTTGTCATGCCCTCGTACATTCATACAGTCATGAAAAATTATTTTGTCTTCTTTCTGACTTATCATATGCTGTTACAACATTCGCTTCACTGAATGGAGCATATCAAGTAGGACGGGCTTCTTGATTTTTCATCAAAAGTGCATTGTTTACCTCAATCATCATTATGGTGCATTGAGACTCAAACCAATGTCTTATCCATATAAAGACATGTTACACCATAATGTATTGGGACTCAAACCCAACTTTTATCATCATAGTGTACCAGGACTTGAACCGGATATCTTACCCTTATGGTGCGGTGAGACTTGCAATCTATTGTTTTACCCTCAATTAATAATATAATATGCCAAAGTATACTAAACTCTTCTGAGCATTTAAAAATATTATTCCTCTATTTTCATATACCGTGAACATATAAAATGGACGTACCTTTAGTTAGATTTGGTGCAACTCGTTTCATCATTGAAAAAGCAATATTAAAGTACTAATCAAAATAGATCAAGGATCCTACTAAAAATTTACGACCGATCACTTTTTCCTTTTCATGGCTACAATACAAAAATAATGTAACAATTTTGCTGTAACAAATCAATTCGTGGGATATATTTTGTGTCTAACTTTGAAGATGAAAAACACCGAAAAAATTATGGCTAAACAGA